AAAAAAAGTTATCGCACAAAACGTGATTGGACAAATTGTTGTGCACGGACCATACATGTCTAATCCTTGATAACTTTTTCTTGAAAAAAAATTGGAACGTGAAACAACGATGGTCGTGACCGCCTCGTCGAGATACGTCGATAGCGCAGAGTTTTTTTTTTTCTGGTGACATGCAACATTTTTGACCATTCTCCTCGATTGAATAAACGTTCGGCTCGGCGCATCTAACCTGGAAAGGTTTCACTCACATGCCCGGCTGAAGGGTCGACGGAGGTGTGGTGTACATCATCGCCCCCGCCGCGTTTCCTTCGCCACCACCCACCTCCCGCGTTGCGCAAACAAACCGCCTCCGGCCTCCAAATGTACCAACGGCCTCCTCGTCTCCTCGTGGCGGGGGACTCGGCAGGGGGCACGCGGCAGGAAATACCGGAGGGGGCGGGTGCGGTCATTCTTTCTCCCGCATCCGTCGCACACACCACTCCCTTCTCCTGCTCACTCTGGGATGGCGAACGGACGGAAGAGAGTCAGGCTGGCCAGGAACCCCGGGGTTTGGATGGTCTTGCGGTAGATGTGGCCGCCAGTTCCATGCTCACAGATTGGATGCGCAGCATGTTGCCGTTTGAGATACAGACGGCTACGAGCTGCCGGTGCCGGCGGAGCAACTAAATACGTCGTGACGTTGAGACGTTGACGAGGGAGGTTCCTCCAGCGACCAGCACCGTGACGGTGAGTGCCTGTACGCACCGCATGCGGGTTCGCCTGCTGAACTTCAAGTATGAGGCTTTCGGAGGCCGACGAGTTTCGCTCTCTGGTCCGCGTCTAATGATGTAATTCCTTATTTGATCAAATTACTACTAACTGTACACAGCAGAGGCGCTGCATTGGGTCACACGGCGGCGTACCTCAAGGGCGCGCGGGGGGGGGATCGAAGTGTCTCCTCTGAAAATTCCAGTAAATGCGTACATAAGTATTTCAAGGTCCACCTCCAGTTGCCTCCAGTACAAAAGTTCCATCGCAAATTAATCGTCCACCGCCGTGGCTTGGGTACAATTGTAGTGTCTGAGATTGTAGCCCTTGATATACGGCAGACTCGCGGTCCTCGATTTTTTCCTAACGATCCGTTTATCATCGAGATCGGTGAGCTAAGCATACGAGCGGGATTTCATTAAGCTGCTACTGTATGCGCCTCGATTTTGAAACGCTTCAAGCACACAACAGGGGCGAATCAGCGCCTCTGTGATTGTGTGGGGCTGCCAACTACAGCGCAGCCCTTCCCTCACATGTCCTACGCGTCGCCGTAGTCGATTTTGGGGTCATGCATTTGAAGGCCTAGCCACAAGCAACGGTGGTTAAAACGTTTCATGATCGGACCGCGCAGCAGCTTCAAGAATCCTGCCGCTCACCGATCTCGATAATTTAGGGAAAATAAGAACACGCACAGAAAGACTACCCATTCGGATATATGATGAACGGATCGGTTGAAATCCTGGACTGCGAGTCAGCAGCATATCGCAAGGGCTAC